TCAGTTAAATATAAGACCCTTATTCATCCAGGAACCTAATCCCATGTATAACTTTAAACACAAATAGTTCCATTGTCTTAAAAAAACCCTACCCAACTGCTTCAAATTACATCCATTATTAAGTGTCTCTTTGAATTGTGTTCTGAGTGTCCTAAATTTATTTTTGAATACACAGATAAAAGTGTTTCTTCCTCCAGACAGTACATCCAAGTATTCTGGAATTATTATTAAACTTCTCATTTTCTGACCCTAAAGTTTGTTCTCAAGCCGTTGTTCTCCATCCCTGCCCTCCCTCCGCCCCACCCCAATGGTCTTAGTATTATTCCACAATATTAATGTCCTTGTTTAAACAGCAGTAGGTAAAAAGTGTGCGGGGGGGGGAGCTATTCCACAGTGAAAACATAAAGTAAACATATGGCAAATGAAAAATACAGTAACTTTACTGATTTGCATAGATTTCTTACCAAATCAACCTGGTGGTTTGTAATATAAAAGGCATCAATTAAAATACACGATAGCCTTTGATGTAAGCAGATATCTGTTAGATCATTTATTTTTTGACGCTAATAGCTTTATTAACAAAATCTGTCTAATATCATACATAAAGAGAAGCACAAAGCAGATAGCCTATTGAACATATGATTCAAGAAGTACAGTAATGCAAAACATATGGATTTAGAATCAGGCACTTAAAACTGGGCTGGAGCAACAAAACAACCTTATTTTTGTCTTTTTTTATTTTAATGTAAATCAAAAAGAAGGCTACAGTAGTCTTTACAAAAAAGCACCTTTACACACTAGGCATTAGATCTGGTCAGCTAGTATTTGCTAAACCAAATATCTGATAATAGAGTATTTTTTGGTTTGTTTGTGTCTTCTGAAATTTTACCAAGAGATTTGAAGTTATGGAGTGATGAAAAGCATATGACAGTGCGTGAATTTGTATAATGTTTGCAATTTGAACACCTTTTCATGAAAACTTGCTGGTCACTTAATCAGTTATGAATAATCAATGATGCAAAGGCTTTGAATAGTGCTGAATCAAATTCAATCTCTTGCTTCTTCTTTTTTTTTAATATGAAGTATTTTTGCCCAGCTCTATTGAATTTTAATGTTCTTGAAATATATGATAACCTCTGTATTCTAGTTATAACTCTGAATTAGAGACAGGCCCAAACTAAAACCTTAGCTCCAAATACTTCCAAGCATCTGGGTAGTTTGCATCATATCATTCTGGGCTGAAGACAGCCACCTTTTGGGAACCACTTGATTTCAGAAACAACTATGCTAAAAACCAAAGTGGATGAGGGGGATAAAACAGGAAATAAAGCAGAAAGAACATCAATAGATATACTGTAAGGGTATTTATTATGGTATAATGAACTGTACTGGGCCCCAATGACTTCGGTGTCATACAACTGCATGGTTTGTACTGCCTTCACAGTGACCCTGGGTGAGGCAAATCATTGTGTATTTATAAATGTGTGTATGTATGAGTGTGTGCTTGCACACACACATATGTATATATTTACTGAACTATACATATCTATATCTATAGATATAGGTATATACACAAACTTATATATGTACATACATATAATGGGATTGTTACAGCAATGTACAACATATTTATTTTCTTTACTTCACAAATAAAGTAGCTGTAAGGCAAATCTGAGTTTTATAGAAATATGTAATAACTATTATTTTACTTGGAAGAATGCAAGCAATTTTGTACGGGCAGACCAATAAACATCCATTTTTAGTTATTATATCCCCAAAGATGAAATTCCAAGTTTAAGATTGCTCAAATCAAGGCTGTGCTTTTTAGAGGAGATTTCACAAAGTCTCTACTGCATTCATTTTAATGTTTCAGTATAAAAAAACTTAATTCCAGGAAAAACTCCTTCACAGTCAGGATGTCCAGACTGTGGAATAAACTTCCTCCAGTGGTGGTGCAGTCACCTACCCTGGAAATCTTCAAGAGGAGACTAGACAGTCACCTCGCTGGGGTCACTTGACCTGAGTTGTCTTTCCTGCCTAGTGCAGGGGGACTGGACCCGATGATCTACAAGGTCCCTTCCAGCCCCTAACAATCTATGAATCTAATCTATGAAAAGGTGGAAAATGAATAACTTAAAGCCACCAAAATATATAAACAATTAATAAGTATAAGAACTCTTTCCCTTTTCCATTAATAAGGAAGAACACCTTAATTATTGTACTGCAGCCTTTTTTGCTGCCTTATCACTTTTTTCATATTCACTGCTACTGATTCAGAAATCTTGAATTTCAGCCATAAACTCTTTCCCTCTCCCTGTTGTCTGTCTTCTCTGTAAATCTTCCTATTCTTACATCCATCATGTGCCTACCTATCTTCTTGTCAACTTTGGTATAAAATCAAATAGCTTGTCTTTATGCATGAAATGTTCAAATTTTGGTATGTGCACTAAGCATTTGTTTGTTTGGCCTCATTTATACATGGAAAGCCATGGTGACCAAATATGGAAGAGGTGTCTAATTAGCTCTGTCCCCGTGAAAATATTTGCTTTGTGGATGTGCCCTGCCCTGAGTATTTTGAACATAGCCTATGCAGGTTTATGAGCTTATTTACATGCTTCTAATTTTTTTCTATAAAATTCTTCCTTTTCTCTATTATCTGTTCTACCCTCCCTATTTGCTTCTTGAATTCCAAACATACTAAGACATACTTTTTTGCTCCATTATTTCGAATGATCAAAATCAATGGTGCCCAACCTTTTTGTCCAGTAGGCTAGATTGGCAGTGCCTGGTTTGTCTGCTGGCCAGATCCAGTTGGTTCCCCTGATCCAGTGCTGGGTGGGCATGGCAGGCACCATATGGCTGCAGAGGGGTGAGGGTGAGTGGGGAGGGGGGACCAGGAGCAGGCTGGCCCCAACACAGCCCCCCAGGGAAAAGGAACTTTACCTGGTCCCGGGGAGAGGAAAAGGTGTGTAGCCCAGCCCTGGGGGGGTGGGTAGGCATGGCCAAGCCCCACGGGGGGAAGGTAGTGTAGCCCAGCCTTAACAGAGGGAAAGGGGGCATGGCTTGGCCCTGGGGGAGAAGGGAGCATGGTCAGATCCTAACACAGGCCCATAGGGGAAGGGGACATGGCCAAGCCTTAACAGGAAGGAAGGGGGCATGGCCCAGCCCTTGTATAGAAGGGGGCATGCCAGGTCCCGATCCAGAAGTGGGAGGGGCATGGCTGTGTCCCACAGGGAAGAGGGGCATAGCTTTGTTCCTACTGGCCATGCAGGGGTATGGAGTTTGGGGTTTTGGCGGGGGGGGATGACCATATTAATGGCCAGTGCTCCCCAGCTGCCAAATTTCCAGACCCATGGGGAGCCCTGTAGGCCAGCTGAGATGGGTCCATGGGCCACATTTGGCCTGTGGCCTGGAGGTTGAGTACCTCTGCTGTACAGTGAGCATGTTTATTTTTTCTGAGCTTATTTTTTAACTCCCAAGCTATCAACTTTTGGCCTTTTGTGTCTGTCTATATTGGAGGCTGTACATTGAGTTGTGTTGTGTTTGTAAGGAGTTAGTGCTGGTATCATGTACTAAAATTCTTGCAAATATTGCTCATGTACTTATGGTGATTTTAAAAGCCATATTTTGCTCTTAATCTATATGCATAATGTTCTTTGATAGCTGCAAGGGAGGATAGAATCCCAGAATTTGTTTTATGATTCAAAGGCACAATCTTGTTCTCTTCTTACATCTTATATTTCAGTGGGAGTAGTTTCGTGTTTGAAAACCTGCAGGATTAACTCCTTTAAATTTTTTTCCAAAGATTCACATAATTGCATCATAGATTTTTGATCCTATCTATGGCTGTTTTTAAAACTGTGGTTATTGTTCTCACCTTTACCACAAAATCCAAGTACTTCTCAGTATAGTTAAATGAGCAACATCCAATCTTGTGGCATTGTAATACAGTGTTTGATGATGGCATATTTGCTTATGTTATCTAAGTACACTCTTACTGCTGTAAGGGTTCGTTTTTGTGATTTGTAATTATGTGCTGAAAATATACCAAGCTAGTATTTTACTTCCTGTTGAATTGTATGCTATAGTAATCCTTGAAAAAAACACCCATACCATTTATTCTGTTGCTAGTTCCTAACAAGAGATAGGATAACAACAATGAAGTGAATTGGGAAACATCTCTGTGTTTAACTGTAAAAGAATAATTTGAATATGCTGGGAGACTGTTAGCAAAAAAAAAGGAAAATGAAAGATTAAAATTGTAACATTTTAGTTAAGAGAATAAAGTAAATCGTATTTGTATTTTTATGGTATGATGTCATATCAAAGCTTCTGAGCAGGTTAATATAGCATCATAACATTAATATTTTTGTTCTTGTGTTTTAGCACAAAGTCCCAGTCTATGGTAATATATGTGCAAAATACAAATAAATTATAATTTACTGACATTACTGAGCTTTTGTTGCTGTTTTACTGTTGTTCAGCAACACAAGACATTTCTTCCTGCAATGGTAGTGGTTTGTGGCCACATAGTACTTCCTGCTCGGGGAGCCAAAGATAAAACTGACCTCCCTTTTCTTAGGACAAAGCCTATTTTTCCAATGGAGTTATGAGTAATAGGATATCCTAAACTAAAAGTAGTAATATTCAATTTACTTCCATCCCTTAAAATACTTACCAAAACATTTAAATTAAAGAAACAAAACCTGTTTTGTAGGCACTAACTAAATGCAAATTAATTAAAGCCATTACTTGAAAAATGTACTGTTCTTACCTTTACCTCCAATCTAAAATCCAAATTTAGTATAGTTTGGATAAACCCTGTGGCACTGTAATGTATTTTATATACTGACCTTCCAAGCTGTACTGACTTCAGTCTTTGTCAACAACATTTCTTTAAAAACTTTTATTCAGGTTTAGCATCCCGTTTTCATCGGGAAAACATTGTTTATGCCTTTTCTAAATGATTTTCTAAATGATTGTTTAACATCTTTTTTTAGGTGAACAAAATGTTTCAGATTCTCCATCTGTTGAGCTGGACATACCTCTGGAAAGTGTGTCAGAGCTAAAACTGATACCTTCTAAAGTTACTGTAACACCTCCTGTCTCTGATACTCCTGTTATGGAATCAGCTGTCACCAAAATGAAGATCCCTAATTTGGAAAAAATTGCCATGGAATTGGAAAAGGAAGATACAGGCCTAACTACAGAAGTAGCGGAGAAAAAGCAGGAAGAAAAAATGCCCAAGGACAACATTAAGTTAACTACTACTCTACCTCAGACTGTCACACATGGCAAAATGGACACTTCTGATTCCTTACAAATGGCAGAATCTGACAGTACACCTAGGTTAGCAGCGAGCGCATTCACACCAGAGGAGATGGACCGTGCTTATTCTGTTGCAGAATTGTCTGAGAAACCAGGTAGGTCTGAAAGCACTGAGGATGCTTTTGTGACCTCAACAATTTTTCAGAGCAGAACACCTGGAACTGAGATTTCTACTGATTCATGGAAAACTTTTGAAAGCCAGACTGAACAAATAGAGGTTGGTCCAATAAGAGCATCTGTAGAGACCTCAGTGCAAACATCCATCTGGGAGATTTCAGAAACAGACACTTCAGTCACATTAACAAGAGGGGAAATGTATCTTGGTGCCCAAACCACGAAAGAACCCGGAAAAAAATCAATGGAAGCAAAATCGGACAAAAAACTTACAACTGTTGTTATTCCCAAAGGTCTATACACTGATCATGAAGAGATTACAACAGAGGAGGAGGGCAGAGCAAGCGCATACACTGTTGTGCCTGATTCGAGAACTATGGCTTCTAGCAGAACGCCAGGATCAGGAGTTATTACTGTATCAAAGACTTTCTTGGATGAGGACAGTGTAACATCTACAGCACATGAGCCAACTCCAGCAGTTAGAGTAAGTTCCCCTGTAACTCTGTTTGATGAAAGTGAGGCATCAGCTGAAGGAAGTGGAGAAGATTTGAAAGATGTTCAGCCTACTGATGCTGAAATGTCATATGGAGTTCCCTTATCTACAGCTGTACAAGCAATTAATCAGACAGAAACTGAATCTGCGCTTCTCTCACAAGAAGGTACACCCTCACCACAAAGTTTAGGAGAGAGCATGCAAACTATTATCTACCCATCTCACCAAACAACAACGTCAGCCATCTTAAGAGAGCAAGAGAGAAAACAGGAAAAAACTATAGCGTCGGAAGAGAAAATAATAGATGGTACAACTTATTATATCACAACAGCAATTTCTGCCTCAGATAAGGACATATCAGAACCCATGGTCTATGTACCAAGTGAGAAATTCACACTTGCCCCTCAAGTTTCTAGCATGTTGCTATCAACTGATAAGGATCAGAAATATGTAGCTGAAGATATGTTTCATACTGAAACAATAGATATTTTAAATACAGAAGATGATACTGAAGATGGATCACAGATTTCTGTAGGTGGTTCAGGGCACGGGGTACATCCAGAGGAAGCAACAGGTGGAACTACAGTAAGCATTGAGCCAACAGACATAAGCAGTAAATTTACAGCTGTATCAGCTGATTCAGATCAGGGTAAAAGTGTCTTCTCCATAAGCAGAGCTTTAGAATTGGAAGTAATTACAGTATCAAAAGAATCACTGGAACAAAGCAGTGCAACAGTAGAGCCTTTTATATCTTCAGTGCCAGCATCACAAGCTACACTATTGCCAGCTGCCATACCCACGGTCATAACTGACAAAATCCAAATGACAAAGAGTTTTACAGAACATGAAGGAGATGATGTTTCAGGGTATCGTGATATTTGGAAAACACATGCTCCTACAGAAATAGAAGGAGATGTGGTCACTGAAAAATAAATAGCACCACCTGCTGAAGACTTTGCACCTACAGAGAAGAAAGTTACAAAACACGCAGTTACAGAAGGTGTGAAGATAAGTGCTGGAACAGTCGGTAAAGAAGAATCACCTGCATTAGCATCCACTACTGTAAAAACTTATGAAGTAACAAGTGCAGTTAATTTGTTGGATGAAGGAAGTACTGCTGAGCTGGTAACAGAAGCAGAAAGAATGACTACTATATACCCACATATTTCAGACATAGAAGAAAGAGTGCACATTGATTTTACAGGGACAAAAGAACCTATTATAATTAGCGATATAACAACAACAGACACTACTGTTGCAATTTCACCTACAGAACTTGATGTTTCCCCAGCTGTTGTGACTTCAGAAGCTGAAATCACTGAAGTAACGAAGATTACAGATCAGGCTCCTTTTAATGTCACCATTCCCGTAGAAGGAACAGAAACAAGCACAACAGATACAGGAGTTTTTGTGGAGGAACACTTTATCGAAGATCGAACTAAGGAGGAACTGGCTGTTGCCACAGGCTCTACTGCAACAGTTTCTAAGGTACTAGTGTCTTTTTTTCCTTTACCTGGACCAACATCAACATCAAAACCTGAAATGGCTCCAACATCTGTTAAAGCAAAGGAGGATGTAGAAGGTTCGGGTTCAGCATATGATGAAAAATTTACAGCTACAGAAGCAGCAGCGCCCTATGTAAAGTTAACAGTTTCTGAAAAAGCACCTGGTGAAACAATGACTGGGACCACACAACTTGCAGTTTCTCCCAAACTTGAGGGGATTACTGAACACAAAGTAAAGACCACTGAAGTTATAACAGCAGCACCAAGTACTGAAGCTGAAGTGGATGGAAGTAGAAGAACCCCCATTGAGGAAGAAGACAGAAGTGCGGGGAGGTGGGAATCAATGTTGACATCACATACTGAAAGTACCGCTCATCACACTGAGAAATCTACAGCTGAGGAAATTGTGGAACTTCTTACAACCCAGCCTGGAGAAGGTTCAGGAATATTGGAGGAACCTAAAGGAACAGAACCAATGATGGTTTCAGCTATTTCTACGGAGAAAACAACACTACTGCGTGATTTAACTTCATCTTTTATTGATGCAGCTGACAAATTCCAACCTGCTTCAACATCCAAACCATTTGTTACTGAAAAACCACCACCTATAATTTACACAGAAGATGATGAAGAAAGAAGCAGTGACATCATTATAATTGGTGAATCTACTTCTCCCAGCAAAGCCACTACTGATGATGATCTCACAGGCAAGACAGTGGAGCCAGACATTGATAAAGAATATTTCACATCATCAACTGCTACTGCAGTTGCACGACCTACCACACCACCTAAAGTGGAGGAAGCCACAGAGGCTTTACGACCTCAAGATGTGTCTCCCTCTACTTCATATCCTGATAGTGAACGTGATATAAAAATGATAGTTATTAAAATCACAGGCAATGATACAGGTAAGATTTTACCTTTTAGACCAGTGGTCAATAACGGCAGACAATTTTCTATAACAAACCAGTGTATTTTAAAATATATTGAGGCAATCTTTTGATCACTGAAGCATTGCACTTTGCCGACACAGGAGCTTAAAGTACGTTTGCTAAGTATGCATTCTGGTAAGTTTTTTAAGATACATTAAGAACTTATCATATAAATGGCTTTGGGCAAAATTCACTGTTGATGCAAGAATCCATCATACTTATAATTGGTGCATCATACATAATCAAGTTAGAGATTTAACTTTGCTTATCTGTGAAACCAAGCATTTTAATTTCATAGCTTCCATGCCATGCATTACTACTCTTAAATGTAGATTGTGTTAACATTCCATTAGTCTGTAGCTATTAACAATATCATTTACAGTGTGATCTGCTAAAAAGGTTGGTATATTCTGTTACATCTACTGATGGATGTTGTGGGATTTGGGGACAGAATATCTAGCAAGGTTTCTGTGAAGTATCTTCATCATAATTTTCCTGATTACTTCACAGAATCTGTGTTGCAAATTATCATACTTTGCACAAGTTCATCAGATTTTTTTAGTTGATGGCACTGTATTTGTATATACAGCTCTAATTTCATGGGTATCCAGAACAGAAACTGCTGAACTAGCAATGAACTATCAGGTTATATGATTAATATGTTTCTGCAATACAGTAGCCTAAAAGTACCAAGTCCTTAATTTAAGTGTTTTGTGTGAGAGATGATTGTTATTTTAGTTCTCTGGTACAGTGACCCTTTTAAAATGAGATATGAAAGAGCTGAGAAAAAAGTGGAAATGAAAATATAATCTAGTCCTATGATTATCATATTATATTTAATTCTTGTATAATGATTATTTTCTCAGAAAATAGTTGTATTGTGTTTTGAAGCCTAGCTGAATGTTACACTTCCGTTTCACCAGTTAAGATACTCTTATCCCATTGATTCATGGCTATAATTCCTGTCAACTTTAAAAACAAGTGTTTTATTCATTTCAGTGGAAGATGGCTGGTACTCTTATAGAGGTATGTGCGTGAATCAAAGGACAAAAGGCACTAAGACATTCCCTTAATATTTCTAGTATTATTTGTACCCTTGCTTGCCTTATACTTTATGCCTGCAATGTGTAAACTGAACAATGTTGATAAATACTTTGAAACAATAGAGGCTTAATATTAAGGAGTATATTATTTTTTGCTTTAAGCTGAATTTTGTCTCTGTGATGAGTAACATGTTATCACACCTCTCAACAGTCTGATGTTCTGTGCGCTGGCTGCACTTAGGAAGTCATAATGAGATGAACTAAATGATCAAGTTATATAGATAGAATTTAAGATAGATGCAGAATATTCTTGAATCCATGAAATTTCTGTTAATTCAGCATAACAGTTAACAGTCAGCTAGATAACTACCTTTCCTCCTTTGTATTGTTGAGCCAGACCACAGATAGCTGTGCATGGAATGAAACAGGCCTTGTAGTGTTGCTATGTCCTTCATTCAGTTAGGTGTGCAGAAGGGGCTTAGAGGTTTGGAGTGTAGGGAACCTTTATTTCTCCAAATGTAATGTGCTCTGGGGGCATAACATGATGTTGCACTACTGTATCAGTGAGTATGTTCTGACATGGTTCTCCCTTATCTCTTTTCTTGGAACAGTGGGAAGGCTGTCACTGCCTGAATTACAGGTCCCTTGTTGGCTGCATGACCAACAGTGCAGCTAGTTCTTAGAATAGTCTTTCTTAAAAATTCATCTTCTGTTAGCATCTTCAGCTAACAAGCCTCTGTGTCTGTATTTCCATAAGTATGTGCCTGTGTATGAATTGCTGAAACATAGTTTTTCAGTTCTGCCATTAAGGGTGATTTATTCATTTATGTATACCAGTGGTGATCAAACTTTTGGCTCTGTGGGCTGGGTAAGTGGTGCAGGGCTGGTCCACGGGTTATATCCCACATGGGGTCGGTGTGCAGGGATGGGCTCTGCATTGCTGGATTGGGTCCCATGTGACTGGATCGGTCCCTGTGCTGCCTAGATCCGGACTTGCATTTCCAGGCTTAGCCTGCATGGCTTGGATTGGGCCCCACGCACTCTGATCCCTCCCTGCACCACCTGGATCGGGCCCTGCGCTGCCTCAGCCTCATGTGCCCAATCTAGCTTGCAGGGCCATGCTGTCAGCTAGCAGGGTTCTCCATGGGTCTGGAAATTTGACAGCTGGGAAATAGTAATTAATGTTCCCAAGCTGCTGGATTTTGGGACTCATGCAGGACAGATGACATAGCTCTGTGGGCCAGGGGTCAAGCACCCCTGAGATATACAATAAAACAATTCCTGTAGAAATAAAGTAGAATTCCCCAAATGGCAGTTTCTCCTTCTGACTTGAAATATAAGGTGTTTAGCATCTGCTTTGTGAAGGATTAAAGTGGGGTTTTCTTTCTTTTCCTCTTTCCAAAATCTAACAACCATTGTTCATAAATTCCCCAGCATCTTAAGTATTGATATATATGAGTTTGCTCCCCTTCTCACAAACAAGCCAAAGGCATGTTTTTTGTGAGGATTTTGATCAGCTTCTGTTTAGCTTTTCATTGTTCTCACACCCAGTGATGCATTTGCGAGACCCTGTCAAGCACATTTTCACTTTACTGCTTTTTAGTACATAAACTTGCTTCTGTGTAGAATGAGATGCATGCAGTAGGTGCTAAAGAGGAGGAAACGTGACAAATGGTACTAACATATGCAATGTGATAGAAGAGAGCTATTACAGTCCACAGCACAACCCTTCTTTCTGTCCTACTTTTATGTAAGTTGATTCATGGTCATAAGGGAACTATATAAACACCATTGACTTTTATGTTATGAAACAAGAATTAATAATAACACGGATTAATTTTCAAAATAATTGTCTTTAGTAAAACAGTGTTTCCTCATTTGCACCAACAGATTTCGATTGCAGTACTATTTATTGCTTTTAAAACAATTAGCAAACAATAGAACAAACCTTCTTTTATGATTTTGAAGCCAACAAGGTATAAGTATCACTTCACAAATGACAACCTATATATAAAGTCCTACAAGCTCTTGTATCTAAATAGCATTTACTGTTATAAAGGAATTTGAGGTACATGTAGTACAACCTGTTATATACAAATGTATGTAATCCTTCTGTACTTGCTACTATTAGTGATTGAATTCTACTTTTTGCCTCCTAATTGTCAGTATGTGTACATGTGGTGAAAACAACAGTTTAAATATAGCTCTAAGGAAGTGCAGTATCATATAATCCTAGTCCCTTGGTCTCCTGTGTCTAGTAGCTTTACCTGTAGGTAGCATCTTCGAGAGTTGGAATGGGGAAAGGTTTCTTTCTGCTGTCTCCACAATTCCAGATGTACACATGGTCAGCCATAAGGTGGTATCGACTTTGTGAGAAAGTCCACTGTCCTTAGATGAAGTGTGCTACAGATTTGTATTCTTTTTGTTCTCTTGCATTCATATAACCCATAAATGATGTGGCACGTTGAATGAATTTTGATGAAAATTATTAACTAGGTTATTAGGCTGTTCTAGACTCTCATAATTTAGTGTACCATGCAGTACAATACACATCCTGAATTTGATTTTAAATATATTTAAGATGAATGTACACTTGTAGGCTTAAAATATTATACTAGGTATCATGAGAAGGCCTCTCTGCAAAGGTTTTTTTTTTCTTGTGTTCTCCAGAAATTAAATAATAAGATATCTAGCTGCTAAAATGTATGCCTGCAGTTAATTTTGTATGTATGAATGAAGTTTCTTGTAGACGTAAAACTGTGCCCAGGGAAATGGAGATGGTTTGAGGCCTGGCTGAAAATCAAGCACTTCATTGTATTTTAATAATACACTGAAACACTGATAAAAAAGAGAATATAGATGAATGGATTACGCTATATATTTGTATATATTTGTAATAGGAATACAGCAGTTTTCTATGAAAAAACTTATTGTACAAACAACCCACATATTGGCATGTAAATCTGGTCCAGGTGCACAAATTAATGAGGAATATATAATGTTTGCCATTTCTGATGGCCAATGGCACCTGAGCAGGTGTGCAAATTAATGAAGAAAACTATATTTGTAGATGGGGACACCTCCCTTTTTTTCTAATAAACAGGACTGCGTGCATGTTCCATAACAGAATGTGCCTGGGATTTTATAAATTTGTATGGAAACTTTTGCTCACAATCAGTGCTGATTGGGAGTCAACACACACAAAGAAAGAACATCTCCACACTGTATTATGGTATCACATTAGCAATGTTCCACTGTACTGAGCAAATCTGAAGAGTCTTCTCTTTCATTGGAAAGAAACAATCAGACAGGAAATAATGCTACTCACAGCCTTTTTGTGTTCTATAGTGCCAGTGGATTGTAATGGTAAATTATGATGCTGGAAGGGAATGGGTTAACAACTTAAAAAGTCTGAAAGAACTTTTCAGCTCATAAAGCTTTTATGACCTGAAAAATGTTAGTGGGAGGTTGTTTAACTGTGGTCAAGGGGATATTGAAAACACAACTCCTGTGTGTATATGAAGGGTAATTTGCACACCTGCATTTTCAGAAACATTTAAAAGTTCAGTTAGTGAAGATGTTGGAAAGTGCTTATTAGAGCTGGGATTTCACATCGGGTCTGTCTGGTTTCCCGTCTCCTTCAGCTGTGAACAGTATGAAATTTAAGGAACCTGTGCTTTGTGGAAGTTGAATTTTATGAAAAGAGATTACAAACTTTTTATACTAACATTCACTCCTGTTTTAAGGAGCAGATTTCCAGCTCTAGAAATGAAAGAGGTGAGTGAAATTTGAATGAAGGTAAACAACTTAAAACATGAACGCTGCTGAAATTCCTGTAATGAAACTGGAAGAATAGAGTCTTTATTAGGACCATTCCTTGGATTTAGAGAGTCTTCATTATGTGCCATAATACAATACCCTTGCTCACAGAAA